GGTTTAATATTTTATTAATAATTTGAATTTACTTAGGTTATTTTTAGTTTAATAGTTTATCTTTGGTTATCTTTAGTTTAATAGTTTATTACTAATTTGAATTTACTTAGGTTATCTTTAGTTTTATAGTTTATCTTGGGTTATCTTTAGTTTAATAGTTTATTACTAATTTGAATTTACTTAGGTTATCTTTAGTTTAATAGTTTATTACTAATTTGAATGTACTTAGGTTATCTTTAGTTTAATAGTTTATCTTAGGTTATCTTTAGTTTAATAGTTTATTACTAATTTGAATTTACTTAGGTTATATTTAGTTTAATATTTTATTACTAATTTGAATTTACTTAGGTTATCTTTAGTTTAATAGTTTATTACTAATTTGAATTTACTTAGGTTATCTTTAGTTTAATAGTTTATTACTAATTTGAATTTACTTAGGTTATCTTTAGTTTAATAGTTTATCTTGGGTTATCTTTAGTTTAATAGTTTATTACTAAGTTCAAATGAACAGGGTTCGAACTTGTTATGATCTTGGAACTAAAAGTAAAATACACATACTTTGTGAAATTAATAATAAATGTATTCAAAATATATCAACAGTAACAATTAGTTAGGATTTAAAAACAAAACAGAATGATTCAAGTAATAGGATGAGTAAAAGTTAAACTTACCATGGTCGTGAGAAAACACCAACAGTTCGTGACAGGCTAGTGTCTTCGCTAAATCGTCGAAACACATGCAATGTTCTGCAAAGCCATGAGCTATGAAAACTAAAGCTCTAAGAAAATTGTAAAAAATAAATTAATTGTTTTAGGCAAATAACTCCAAATCCACACAAAACAATATATGTTCGTAATTCGTAAAGTTTGTAGTTCTGAATCATAAATCACACAAATTAATCAATGTTAGTTAATACTTAGTTATAGACAAAGACAAATATACATCAATGTTAGTTAATACTTAGTTATAGACAAAGACAAATATACATCAATGTTAGTTAATACTTAGTTATAGACAAAGACAAATATACGTCAATGTTAGTTAATACTTAGTTATAGACAAAGACAAATATACGTCAATGTTAGTT